CATATGGGAGGGTGAGAGAGTAAGGGGGAGGGTGAGAGTAAGGGGGAGGGTGAGAGAGTAAGGGGGAGGGTGAGAGGGCACAGGGGAGGGTGAGAGAGTAAGGGGGAGAGTGAGAGAGCATATGGGAGGGTGAGAAGGCACAGAGGAGGGTAAGAGAGTAAGAGGGAGGGTGAGATAGTAAGGGGGAGGGTGAGAAGGCACAGAGGAGGGTGAGAGAGTAAGAGGGAGGGTGAGATAGTAAGGGGGAGGGTGAGAGGGCACAGAGGAGGGTGAGAGAGTAAGAGGGAGGGTGAGATAGTAAGGGGGAGAGTGAGAGAGCATATGGGAGGGTGAGAAGGCACAGAAGAGGGTGAGAGAGTAAGAGGGAGGGTGAGATAGTAAGGGGGAGGGTGAGAGGGCACAGGGGAGGGTAAGAGGGCGCAACGGATGGTGAAAAAGGGCACAGAGGAGGGAGAGAGGGCACATGGAAGAGTGAGAGGGCACAGAGGAGGGGGGGAGTATTCCAGGAGGGATGAGAGAGAACAAGGGAGGATGACAGCGCACAGGGGAGTCACATGATCTATGACCATATTTTATATTGAAATACTGTTTTAATGACAGCATCTTCTCTGATTTTACATCCCTGTGATGGAATCAAAAGGAAAAATAAGTGCGGATTTAATCCATCTTTTAGGCCATGTGACTGAACGGAGCGGATAAATGAATGAAAGCTGCCGGGTTCCTCATGACGTGTCAGCGATGACTGAATGTGCTGTGATGTTTGTGACTGATAGTTTCTTTTGCAGGGAGGGCTTGGCATGAGAGCCTTCCGATTACAGCCTGTTATATGAGCAAAGGGAGGGCGTGATGCATGCAGATCGGCACCCAGGGAGTTAGCTTGCGAGCTAACACACTCCTAACACTCTGAATCATCGTTAATGTAGGCAGGAGCTCGTATCATATTGACTGCGTGGGCAGACCAGCTGTGTTTTGATAACTTCATATTGTTTACATGGCATAAGCAAAATCATATTCCCACGATCCTAAATCAGTCCGTGCCATATGGGGATGCGGCCATTTGACTGGCACACAAAAGGCAGGCAGGAACCCCCCACCCTGCCCGAGAACAGGCAGCCCAGTGAACAGACGGAGCCGTAGAAGTCTGTAAATTGTGCTGTATTGAGTGCAATTTGCCAGCCATCGATTTCTAATTTGTCAGGCCACTACAGAGTCACACCAGCTCAATCTTCGGGGTCCGGACCAGGTGATGGAGGTAGATGCTTACAGGCTCCATCCCAAAGTCCAAGCTGCTCCTGAGATCGGGGTTCAGAAGATACCCCATGACGATGACCAGTGAGATTTCTTTTAAATATTAATATTGGCCCAGAATCTCACCAACACTCTAGCAGTACATAAGAAACAAAAACCTCTTTTAATTAGAGATTTAATGCATTATCTGTAATTACTTGTATTCAGGCACAAAATGTATGGCAGGTAGTTAAATATGTAAAATATGATGATCATGATGTAATGTGTTGCTAATTTTACATTCAGGTTATGCATGCATGTGTGAATCTGTGTAATGCTGCCTGTCTTCTGATTTTTAATACCTGCTGACTTTACAAGGGTATGGAAACTAAACATCACTTGATCGATATACAAAGAATTCCGTTTTATTGGCTGAGAAGTGAAGCAATGCCCCGCCCCCTATACTGCAGCTTCCATTTCAGTTTTTTTTTTTCTTTATATTCAGTTGAATGGCTCAGGCTTGTAAAATCTTCAACACTGAGACAATGGTCACAAAGAAAATGCATGTGAATCCCTTCAAAGCTGATGGAGGACTTCATGAAGGAGCAGGATCTGTGCTGCACCTGTGCGTGGTGACAGTCTCCCTGTTTGACCTTGAACAGTGAGCAAACATGGCCTGACCTGTCAGAATGACTGGAGTTACATTGCTCAGTAGCTGGCGATAGATGCTCAGTTGTGTAACCAGAGGCTTTGTGATGACAAGAAGAGAGTATATCTACCTATAGAATTTACTGAGAAATAACAACTTTTATTCGTACTGCACAGAATTAAAAATTAGAAAATCTTTCTGACTGCGGTGAAAAGGCTTCCAGCTTTATCCCTGCAGCACATGTATCATACGTGCAAAGCTATCGATTTCAGCTGGACTGAAAGCAGAGGGCCACATGCTGGCTGCCCATGCTCTCTCACAATTAGCCAAAACTTTGTGGCAGGAGCTAGAAACTCCAATCAGGTTGTAGCTCATTCGTCAGTCAGTGATTCATTGGCTAGTCACTTGCTTCTTCTGCTGCTGATTATTAACTACTTCGTGTGTAAAAGAATTACTCTGTAAGGCAGCTCCACCCCCCCTCCCCCATTGTCACACTTACTGTCACAGAAAGAAACAAATCAAGTGATTGATCCATCCACAAAGTACAAAGAGCTTTTACATCAAGGAACGACAAACACATCCCCTGTTATAAGTGCCTCAGTGACTGCATAGAAGGCAAACATACGTTTCAAATGTCAATCCACTATAAAAAAGGGCTCCACAAAAATATAAGCATTAATCCTTACCATGGCCTCATTGATCAGGCTGTAAAACATGTACTGTAAAGAGAGGCAGAGACTCCTAAACATCATGGACGCCATGGACCACAAGGCTGGCAATGATTTAGAGAACTTAAAAAATGAACACGCGGATGTGTCATTGACAGGCAGTATGTGGGAAACACTTTGCTATTTCATGCTTCACCAAGCAAGAGAAAATATTGATCTATTGGGCCATTTAAAAGGGTATTTCATATGTACAGTATCGGCAGCTGAGCATGTGCAATGCTGATACACTGAGTTCACAAGAGACTAGATTACAGGTTTACAGTTATGATAATGTACCAAAGAGTTTCAGATAAATAGAGTGCAGTGCCTCTGTGAAGTCCTGAACAGCAAATTAGAATCAGAGCAATCAGTGCAGTTTTCTTTGAAGATTGATGCTTGGCAGCTTGAATGAGTTATTAGTTGCATATTTTAGCTGTGATTCTCATATCAGAAATGAATGTGTAGTTCAGGGTGCTTTTCTAAATGGTTTGTAAACTGAAGGTCACTATTATTGAAGCGAAATTCCGCCTTGGCTGCCCAGCTTTCAGTCCCGTTCCAGCCCAGTGTCAGAGGTGCTGTGACATCTGGCTGAAAATTCAACTTAATCCCATATACCCTGATGGATTGTCACGGTCATCATCTCCCACTCCAACACGTGCTCCCAAGGCAAGTGACTTTTACCTAAGCTCGTTTTTTCAAAGGGAACATCAGCATGTGAGATGGCCTGTCATTCTGAGCCTGACCTCGGCCAGGGCCCACAGAACGTCAACATTACAGTAGGATGAGAAAACAGCCACTCGATGACTCATTTCTACTCTTAAGACATGAAATTCATTCATTAACTGCTAAACAAATAGACAAATCATTTACATAGCTCATCATTTCACATATTTAAAGTATAAAGCTCATTATTATACATAACCCATCATTGTATATAGTAAGTATAGCACATAACATGTCCCTCATAAGGGGAATTATTTGATGATTTTACACATTGGTTTGATGGATTGCACCTACTTACATAACTAATTATTTTACATGTATATATTCCACTGGTAAAGTATAGGTCTAATTGCTACTTAGAGGTTACAGACAATCTCATCATCAGTAGTCTTGTCATTATTAACAAACCAGATTTACACCATGACTCTTCATGAGCTCAAGATCTTGTGGACCCCTATAACCGTTCTCCACTGGCAGTTCAGCAAGGCACTTCTGTTGAAGGAAGCAGCAGTTTATAGAAACCTGATCCATGTGAGCAGGCAGCGGATGCCGTTACTGCAGATAAAGCAGCAGTGGACCAGGAGGTACACACATTGTTCCCATCCCTGCACTCTACTGTGTGTCAGCAGGAAGGGACATTCCCTTCGAGTTCAGAAGTGACACCAAATTAAAGGTGTTGAGAGCTATTATCCGGATCAGTGCAAATTTTGCTGAATTTTTGCCTGCCCATAAATCCTTGGGAGGAAACCTCCTCGACAAGATAGTCCCACCCAAACTAGTCCCTTTAAGGACCAAGGACACCCCAGCAATTTCAGAGCCAGGACTGTCATTGCTCCAAAGCTACATGAAAGCTATAAACCAATCTGTCTGCAGGTAAAACACCCAGTACAGAAAACAGCTGCTCTTACATCCTTGAACAAACTGCTTCAGTTGAACAATTTCTATAATTTCCAGATTTATAAATGTGCTGCAGCCCCTCCCTCTCCCCCTATGAGCCAATACTGAATAAATGGTTGGACGATGGATGGACAGGTGGATTTAAAAATGGGTCAAGGTGGGAAGAATGTAACGTGATTTTATTAACCTTGGATAGCAGCACCTGCTAAGCAAATAAATGATAACAATAAGGAAGGGCATTCCTCTGCAGCACAGCAAACTGTCCTATCTCCTCTTAATTGCTTTGCGGGAAATCCTGTCATTTGAATGGAGAATACAGTGAGGAATGGTTGCCTAGCAGCAGAAGCGCCCACCTACTGAGTATCTAATGGTGCTGGGTGGTTCATGTCCCTAGTCACATGACTGAACTCAGACTCTATTTCAATATCCATAACAATTTTGTTTCTCATTAGTTAAGAATGAGTTTTCCTTTCTGGGTAGCTTTTGCCATTTATATAATTTTATACCATATATTGCCCTGTATGATGAGTTGGACATTTTTGAAGAAGACACACCAGGAAAATTCCAACGTAATTTATGAATTGAGAGTAACAATTATAATCAAGTGTTTTCCCAGAAATCATGGAGAACTGGAGATGCAGTTAAATGTTTGTTTCGAAAAAATACTGGTGTGAGAAAATGTATTTAAAATAGAAGTAATTTGAAAATACAAAAAATACATGTAAAATAGTAATGGTATACGAACAATATGTGTACAGTCACATCCCTATTAATGTGTAATATTTACAAAATATGCAGCTTGCACAGGAATAATATAAATTTGCTGGAAGATTTCTTTCGTGAGTGTGAGAGTGTCACGCCAGATGCGTGAGAGCTAGCAGCCCTGATACACATCACATTTACCATTCGGTTCTCCCTCTTACTCAGGGTCAGTGGCTATAAAAACACCTATGTCTAGCTGATAGAAATGAAAAAAAGTGGGACGCTTTAAGTTGAGCACACTCGGGCCAGGAGGCCACGTATTGTTCTACCGCTTCCTCCATCCTGGCCACCAATACCGTCGTGCTATCAGCCGGAGCGTCATGGAGACTCCTGGGTGCCCGGAGCTCCAAGAGGTATGGACCCACCTGAGAATTGCTGATCGGTGGGAAGGAGGCACATACAATCTCCCAGGTGGGCAACTGGCAGGGGATGACGTGCGCTCATTAATAACTTGGAGGTTCTCCTCCAGGGACCAGGAGATGGTGGCGGCGAAGCAGGATTGAGGTAGGATGGGTGTTGTCTGATTCGTCACTGTTGGAGGGTCATACTGCCGGGAGAGAGCATCCGCCTTGATGTTCTTCAATCCTGGACGGTAGGTTACCACAAAGTTAAACTGTGCAAAGAACATTGTCTAGCGTGCCTGACAAGGGTTTAGCCTTTTTGTGTTTTGTAGATATTGGAGGTTTCGGTGATTGGTAAGGACCTGGAAAGGGAGACGGGCCCCCTCCAACCAATGTCTCCACTCCTCCAATGCTAGCTTGATTGCGAGGAGCTCTCTATCCCCGACATCATAATTGCGCTCTGCGGAGGTGAGTTTTTTCGAGAAGTATGCGCAGGGGTGACGACGGCCGGTTACTGGGTTTTTCTGGAGGAGAACACCCCCTACTCCGGCCTCAGAAGCATCCACCTCTACCTCGAATGGTTCTTCGGTACGGGGTTGCTGCAGGATGGGTGCAGAACAAAAGGCATCCTTCAACTTCTGAAAGGCGCGTTCTGCCTTCGGGGTCCACTGCAACCTGGTACCTTTTCCACGGGTAAGGGAAGGTGAGAGGTGCAGCTACCTGGCTGAAATTTCTCACAAACCTGCGATAAAAGTTTGCGAATCCAAGGAATCGCTATAATTCTTTCACAGTACGAGGGCGTAACCATTCCTTTATAGCGGTTACCTTCTGTTCGTCCATGGCCATTGCTCCAGGGTGGAAGACGTACCCCAAAAGCTGTACCTGCGTGCGATGAAATTTGCATTTCACCCTTCACGAACAGATGATAGTCCCGTAGCCTTTGGAGTACCTGGCAAACATGGGTTATGTGGTGAGAGAGGGAAGAAGAATATATTACAAATGTCATCGATATAGACGATCACGAACTGGTTAATCATATCTCGGAACACGGTATACATGAACGACTGAAAGATAGAGGGACTATTTGCCAAATCGTATATTTGAAAGACTGTAAGCCTTGTGATGAAGGTTCTTCAAATGACAGAAAATAAATAAAATGAAATGAAATATTTTAAATATTTAAGAATATAAAATACAATCTCTCAAAGTATTGTTATTGCACAAAGTAATTAAATACGTATTTTAAATACATTTAGTTGAAATACCATCTCTGCACAGAAATAAGGTGATTTTGAGGAGTTTTTTTTTCAGGGTGATTTTGTTTTCCTGTCTTTACTAAAAATAGAATATCTAAGACTGGGGAACAAATCTGCCTGAGTTCCAGTTATTTCAGTCCACAAAAGCAGGTCACTTAATACATGCTCTAGGATTTTCAATTGTATAAGTTTTGTGAGCAATTAAGCATGAACAAAACTATTCCAATGACAGCATTTAGTTTAAGTTGTAATTCACCATAACATTATAGGAGAATTAATAAAAGGAATTAACTCAGTTCAGCTTGAATTTATTTCCTTTTATTTAGTAATCTCTTTGCTTTTCCCTCACCATCAAGAGATCCCTCCTTCCAAATGCCTACTTCATCTGCTAACTACCATGTTCGTGGGAAAGTATGACAGCAGTTTCACCAGAGACCGAGAAAGACCACGTTCCCATAAGCATCTTTCCTGCAGTCCTGTGGAGCACACATGAGAGCTACTTACCACCCTCAGTGGCCAGTGGTAGCCACTGGATGCTTTGATAGCAAGAAGGGGAAGGAAAGGTGTTTTATGAACACCATCTGTCTTTTACGTGGTCCCCAGACTGCTCCCTGCTCTCCCTTGATCTGCAGTGAGATCGGCTCATTATTCAAATAACAGCCAGCTGGCTAATCAGTCTACAAGCAGCAGCCAGACACATGAAAATCCCATCAGAGTTCTGCGTTCCTCCAACTCGCACCATAAAAACATCCGAGGACTCAAGAATCAGCTTTCCTCGCAGGCTGCTCCCACATCTCAACTGAATCTGGCAAAAATTTCAGTTTCATACTGAAATAGGCTGGCAAAGACTGCTAATGAAAGAAAGCTAAGATTAGTCCCAGTAAGGCTTTGCTTTCCAAATGATCCAGGGCTCTCAAATCTCACGCATTCATTGTGAGACACACGCATCACACACCAGTTAATATACTCACATGCCACGGCTTGTGTTTCTCATGCTGAGAAGGGATATAACCCACCAAGGTGTCCCGTTATATAGAGTTTTACACCGAGTTCATAGCTGCCCTGATTTTGTTAGATTGAGTTAGTTAATAGCCACCTACCAACCAATCAGAAAATAGCATTTGTTGCATGTGATCCCACTGCAAGCATGTTATTATATGGATGCACTCCCATACGGAGTGCAGACAAGGTGGAAGTGGCAAATGAAGATCAAGAATCAAGAACGCGAGAGGCAGGAATCATGTCATGCATTGACTGTAACACATGCTGCGAACCTAGCAGGTGCATTCTCACTCCAAACTTTTGCTGAAACTTGAGCGCCCTGTGATCCAAATGACCTGTTAAGGATGCTTGCCTTTGTACTTGTGAAGTAGTAATGACCACCTAAACCGAGACCAAGTCATTACTATGACCAGAGTGTATCAAGACCGAGACAAGACCGAAATCAAGGTGGGGCAAGACCAAGACAAGACCAAGAACAAGGCAGGGTAAGACCAAGTCAAGATTAGAAACAGACTACATAACACAACACTATAAAATGTGGAGCATAAGCATCATCTTGGGTCTAGGCAGTATGGCCTGAAATTTATCTCACAGTATAATTTGAACCATGGGCGTTTTTTCTTAAAATTTCAATATAAATGCTCCTATACAAATGTCACAATTTTTTTCAAATAAGATGCACCTTATTGGTTGCATTTGACCTTCGAAGCAGGATGTTTACACCCAATCACAGTACTGTGTTAACAAACAGATGAATATTAACTTATTAAGCCATTGTGATTAATATTGAGGCATTTTGATGAGTGCTCTTGACTAGTCTTGAAATAAAACTTCAAGTTCTCTTTGTCCAAGACCAAGACATGACCGAGTCAAAATAAAGTCGATTTTGAGAAGAGACCAAGTCTGCAAAAAAAGTGGTCTCAACCAAGACCAGTCTTGAGTACTACAACACTACTTTGCACCCACGGTACTGCATTGACTGCAGTCGCTATGCCCTGATCACATATTGCACAGGCTGTTTCTGGAATCAACAACAATGACACAAGGAGAATAAATGTAGTTATACTGTACCTGTATATTTCTATGTGTTCTACATGTATTTACTCTACCACTAAAACTAATTTTATGTAATAATGTTAATTTAAATCTGTCAAAATCCTTACTAGAAGGGTTATTTTCCTTTCCTGTGTATTTGTTTGCTTGTGCTCCTTGGAGCACAACCGAGGACTGTGACGGGTATGAATTACTGCTTTACAGTTCTTGCAGGTCTCTAGCATCAGGAACAATTTGAAAAGCCAGAAGAAATAACCACCACAAGCAGCTTGAATTGAATTACAGAAAATGTGGGGACCATTAATCATACAGTGCATTGGGATGGATATTCTGCAGGTTTTTCCTCCGACATCCTCTGGAACCTAACCAGGTGACACATCTCAGTCTCACCAAAAGTTTTAAAAAGCAGCTTTTTAGAGTCTGTAATTCATGAGATGTTTGTTTCACTAGATTTGGCTGACAGTTGCCATGGTGAAATTCAGGAACTATAACTGCTGAAACCTGTATGGCATCTGTCCAGTTCAGCCACAACCTAAATTCCCAGATGACTTCCCTTTAGCTAAGATATGGACATGGCCCATATTCTTGCTTTAAAGATGAAGCATGTTCAGATACCTCCTTTCACACTTCCAAAATAATAAAGAAAGCAGCAGGACATAAACAGTTTGAAGGGATTTTTTCCCCTCTCTGCCTAGGATTGGGAAAATGTCACAACAGAAGATGACAAGTTACTGCTGATGGATAGCGTAAATGTCAGCCAGCAATGTGACCTCGAACCATCTGCTGGTTTGCGAGAAGAAAAAAAGACTTGTCGTAAAGTAGTGACAGTGATATCAACTTAAGATTGCTCTTCAATTTAACAGAAGTTATTTTGTAACACAAATAATAATAGAACAACATAGTAGCATAGTAACTATATACATGGACACCATAGTAATAAAATGCTGAATAAATCATATTTGGAACATGAAATGCTTTGGATTCACTATGGTAATTCTTTTTTTTTTCATTAGCTGTCTGAAGCTGTACACCAAACAGCTCACAAGCCGTAGTCCTAATTTTATCTGGTCTTTTATCGCCACCTACTGACTGGTTTGGCGCTAGCTACACCGCAAAATGTATCATATTTTCTTCAAGAAAATGATTGAAATGGTCTACAACAGCAATTCTCAACCCATGAGTTGCCACTCAAATTTGTGTCTTGTCAAGTTCCAGAAGGGTCGCGAGTTGGAAATGTAAGCATTTTAAAACCAGCAAGCTCCTATACGGATCCACGATCAGATTTCCCAACCCAGTCGTAGAATTAGCCATATAAGTGGGTCTTGGGTCTGCAAATGCTTAGCCGTTAGCGCAAAACTAGTGAACACTCAACCAATCCAAGAAGACAAACCACAGATTCTTAATTTAAAATTCACGGCATATTCAATCAGATTTTGTGCGATAGGCATTGACTGGCTTAAATTCGCGCTTGCTCATGGTCGTGACTGGGCTGTGTGGTAAAAATTGGTATACGTAAGATTGATTCTATAAAGAACAGATTTCAAAATTAGCTATATCAAGAGCGTAGTAAATAAAACTTACATACATGTAAATATGTGCGCAGACTTGAAAATATTGGTGACATTAGTATATCCACAGTATCCGTGCTTTAAATAAAATTTATTTATGCACTGGCGTGCATTTTAACAGTACCAAACATTCATTTTGGAAGTTATAGACCACGGGATATTAAAAGGCATGTAAAACAGGAAAATTAAAATTTTACCGAGTTTACACAAAACTATACGAGCACAACAATAGTAGAACACTCAACATTTTTTTCTTAACTACCGTATTTATTGTTAATAACATAGCTTATTTGTCTTAGTTGAAAAACCCACCACCTGTAGGGTTAACGGTCACACGTGCATTTCAAAACAGGATATTCCGTTAAATGTCACGTGCTGTTATGAACCGGAAGCCCCGCCCCCTACGTTAGGGTTATGTATGAAATGTGTGATGGTTGTTTGAGCACGCTTGCTTAAAAAATTATGATGTTTTATGACAAAGGCTTTTAAAACATGAACTGCATCACCGTTGAGGATTTGTCTCATGGGACGGAGAATGTCCCTGTTTTGTTCGAGGGGACGGTGAGAAAAGAGACGCCGGTTTTCCAGGTATTGTGGATCATTGAGGTGGTCACCTACTGCTGATGTATTCCATCTACTGTAAGTCTTACTACAGTCCAGTCAGCGTAAAAGTTCACCTGGGAAAGTAGGTTTGTGCCTCTGCATTGTTTAATAAATACATAGTAAAACTATTCATTTATTTTTTTCTATTGGTTATAATGTATGTCGCATGATGGCTGAGGAAACATTTTGGTAATTTAATATTTAATTTCATAGTGTTACTTTATTAAATTGTCCAAGAAAACCTCAAAAGAATAGTTGAAATAAGAACATTTTCATACGTGGTCAATTTTTAAAGAGCTACAGTATTTATGAGTTTAAGAATCGCCATGTAGTCCGTTCACATGTTTTCCTTTTAACAGCAGATGGCGACAGAAGCTCGTTTTTTCCTCACTTAACTTCAGCAGTCACTTTTCACTTTAGTAACTAAACTAGAGTTTAACTTAATTTTTAAACTTGTTTTAAAAGGATAAAGCCATCCATAATCCAACATTTTAATTTTATTTTTGCCATTTTTTTTAATTATACATTTTTAATAATGGCAGTTAATAAAACATTGATGGGAAATGTATACAAAATGAAATGATGAACACAGTTTGTATATAGGTTTAATAAAAAATGCATTGTATGGCTTGCTGTTTTAAATAGCATAATTTATTAAATTAAATGGATCTGGCAAACAACACTATATAAATATTGTTATATAAATCTATGTAACATAGTCTAATAAGACTAAGATAGTATGCTGGCATTGCCAAAAAGTATGGAGAATCAGGCTAGGAAAAGTGAATTTGGGCTTGTGTAGTGATGGTGGCCTATCTGGCTTGTGTTATTAGAATGAGAATGCAAGGGGCTGTACTTGTTTCATTGGTAAAGGTTTGTGGCGAGATGTTCACTACTCCTATGATTCTCTGTTATTTTAAGGCTTTTCACATAAAAAATGGCCAATAGCAGTATCTTTGGTAGTTTTATATTGTGCTTACAGATATATTTGTCATTGAAATGCTTAACGTTTGTATTGCAGTACACACCAGAAAATGTTCCTGGGCCAGGCTGTGACAGTTATCCAAATGAGGTGACCTTACCTGGATGTGACTGTAGATCCCACTCCTGCCAGCAGGGGAGCTGCTCCTGCCTTCAGCATCATGGGCAGCTTTACAACAGCACAGGCCATTTGTTGGACCGCACTGATGAGCTTACAGGATACAGCAGGCCCGTGTTTGAGTGTAACACCTTGTGCAGGTGCGGAGAATCCTGCTCCAACCGGCTGGTCCAGCAAGGCTTAAAACTGAGTCTGTGTGTGTTTCCCACCCAGGGCAAGGGTTGCGGCGTCCGCACACTGGAGCCTGTATCTCGGGGCAGCTTTGTGTGTGAGTACGCAGGGGAGGTGATCGGGTTTGAGGAAGCCTGCAGGAGGCAGCGGGTTCAAAGCCCAGATGACATGAACTATATCATCGCAGTGAGGGAGCATGCTGGAACAGATGTGCTGAGTGAAACCTTTGTGGACCCTGCTGCTAAGGGAAACGTGGGCCGCTTCCTCAACCATTCCTGCCAGCCCAACTTGGTGATGGTGCCAGTGCGTGTGCACTCCATGGTGCCCAGGCTGGCTCTGTTTGCTACCTGTGATATAGCCCCTCTGGAGGAGCTCACCTTTGACTATTCAGGTGGCTACAAGAAAACAGGGGATGTAAGAATAGGCCTGGGCCCAGGTGAACCAATATCTGCCACGGGAGGTACAGATCTACAGAAAAGAAAACCCTGTTTGTGCGGCACCCAGAACTGCAGACTGTTTCTGCCTTTGGACGTCTCTGTAATCAGCAGCAGTTAAACCCCCAGAGGCCACTGCGACCTTGTGATTTACTTTTGAAATTAGGTTTTATTTTTCTATGCTGAAGTCCACCTGGCTGGCTTTTCACTGTGGATTCAATGGGGGACATTTAGGTGGAGAAGAATGGTATTCTCTATCCTGCTGGTGCAGTTTCAAAGGAGAGTTAAAGGCAGAAAACCCAAGGAAGCAGAAGCCTGCGGAGAGTCACATTAAGAGTTTGCCACCAGAATGAGTAACTACAGACTCAAAGGTAGTCGAACGACTTTGAGTTGACATTGGCAAGTGTGTTTAAAAGAGATGCAATGGCTGATGGGAATGTGGGCCAGTCACAGGCACTTCTGTAAGTGGCTGGACCATCACAGAGGCACAGTCTCTCTAGTGCCAATGTCTCTGACATCCTGGCAAACTGCAGTGCCCTGCTGCACCCTTGTGGTACATCAGCTTTGGACGTCATGGCCTACTCCAAGACAAGCCCGATAATGTAGGGCACTCAGCTCCCCCACTCCCCAAAAAAGTCACTGAGCTGAAAAATATATCAGACTTTGATGTCTTTTACTGGCACCCTATCTAGGTCACCCCTGCCTGACAGTAAAGGGTTGCAACAGTAAAAAAAAAAAAATTCTAATGGTTTAACTTGCTTCCTACGATTGATGGGACAGCACCTTGGAGCCTGCAGCTGCAATCTATGGGAAGTCTTAAGACCCTCGCCCCCATCAAACCAACAGAGGATCATGGGATCTCTACACAAGTTGTATTATATATAGCAGACATATTCCTGTCAGATTTGGTGTACTCTGTGTAGCTGCTGGTGTAGCTGCTGGAGAGTGATCAAAAAGTTACGGGTTCTGTACCCAAGAAGGTCCCTACTGTTTTTTTTTCTTTCAACCGAGACACCTGATCGTACTTCTATATAGTATTTTTGGAAGTATGACTCTGACAGCATCTTGAGGCTGCATAAAGAAATATGGTTTTCTTGTCCTTCTGGTCCTTCTGTGTTTTCATGTCACGCCGTGTCCCTTCAGAAACATTCTCAGGTTTGTTCGTTTAACCCACATCTCAGAGCAATTAAAGAGTGCCTCTGGGTATTCCTTTATAGAACCCCCCCCCACCACTGTGTTGGTTCGATGTCCCACTTTCAGTTTCTCATTCTTAACGTTCCCACTCCTCCCAAACTGCCCTCTTTCAGGTCTAGACCCGCCTTCATCGCTGCTCTTCTGCTAATTTCCACATCTGGGTTAATCACCTCAGAGATCAAGTTTCCCAGGAAGGGTGCACGTTGTGAGCCGATCCCCAGGCGCCCCCGCCCGCCGCTCCTCCCTCGTCGTCGTGAGCGCTCTCCTAGCTGAAATCACTTTTAAAGTGATTCTGGAAATACTTAGCCATCCAGAATCATTGAATATTGTTCCAAAAGAAAGATGGGTGTGCAGTACAAGTCTGCTGATGGCGCATGCACCTGTGAGAAACATTTCTCAAATCTTCTTCGCCCAGGATCAGAATTGTGTCCTTTTCTATTATCTGACTGGCTAACTAAATTTATATAGTGAAATTTCTGGGAAGGGTCTTTCTCACTTTGTTATATATTTGTTTTTTACATTTATGTATAAGAAGACAGCTTGTCGACTTGTTTCAACAAGACAATGCTGCAAACCAGGAGTAATTATTTATGTTTAATCAAGGCAAGTCAACCCACTAGGTGGAATAATTACATTAATGTCTGTGAGGAAGACCCACAGTGAAGTGGCGAGAGACAAAGTGGGAAAGAGGTTGTGTAATCAGTGCTTCCAAGTGGATGGAGATGGGTGCCCTGGAACTCTGTGATAACATCTTGTCTAGTTCTCAAGGACATTCCTGTATGCTCGTCTGGAGTGAGACGGCACTTCCTGTGACATCACTCTGACATCACAGCATTACGTAAAACCACCACGTGTTAGTCCAGGATCTCAGGCCCCTCCTCCCGTAACACAGTCCCATTGCTTGGCAACATGTTAAATGATGACCACATCACTTTAACACCAGCAGCCCACCTAGGGGGTTGACTGGTACAGGTAATAGTGGAAAAAAAGGTATCTCCGAATGCATATCTTTGCTTAAGTAGCAGTAAAAGGTTTATGAAGTGTGATCTGTACCAGCTATCGGTGGCATGAGTATTTAACCACAGAGAAATTTCATGCTCTGTGTGAGTCCATCTTCTGGATCATGTTCACGTTTTAAAATTCAAGTCCCTTGAATCCCCATGACAACAGGAGCTGTAAGAGTGACTGGCTCTCCGTGATCTTTATACTCTGTAGAAGGAGAGGATGTGGAGAGATCAAATAAACAAACGCAGTGTCAAGGGGAGGAAGAGAGGCTGAGCTTTCTGTGTTATAGGGGGCATCTTACAAAAGCAGGAGATTTGGATTTGTGAGGGGGAAATTACTGATAACCACAGAATGTGTAAAAGTGTAGACGAGATCAGTCAGGGGGAAAACAGCTTTAAGGTGGTGGCGAAATGATAGTTTGCAATATTTCTTATGGTGAATGTCTTAAATTGCTGTCTTTTCAACTTTCTTCGCCCGCTAGAGTGTTCTGGTGATGAGGGTAATTTATCAGTACTGAGCTGCCTGTGTAAAAGTAAGGCAGTGTTTTAGTGGTTTGTATGTCCTGTAAGCCACACCCTCACGTAAGCCACACCTACTAAAGTTATCAGTTCAGTAGCACTAGAATTGCAGAGATTATTGCGTTCTATTTTCATATTTTCTTGGGCTTTGCAAACACCAGGAGAATTTCCCTTTCACCGAGAGGGAGAGAGGGGAAAAAAAGCATAACATTCCGTTGTCCCAGATACTAATGTGAATTTCGATAAGTGCTTCTATTTCTACCCAGCTCAAGGTTAACCGCCCTGGGAGTCAATCTGGTTTGTGCAAAGACTTTTTTTCTTCCATAGGAAACTGACTTCCAGAATAAATGAACGAAACAGACCGCACGCTGTGTTTCCATCCACATTCACCTGTGCAGATCCAGGAGGGTCAGGTGGGTGGCGTACACCTTCAGGCTCTGCCCACAGGAAGTCCCAGCCTCTTGGTGGGGGAGGGACTTAACGGCGCTCTTTATGACTCTCTTTATGCTCTGAGCTCTGAGTTTATGTTGACGATTAACATATCAAAAAAAAAAAGATAAAATTGCAAAACTAAAGCAACTTTTCTCTTGCTTGTTTCTTTAATAAAACACCTTCAATGAATAATTTGGTTTGAAGCAAATGATATTTAATTGAGATGCTGAGAAAGAACAGATGTGGATGGGGAATGAGGCACGCCGTGGGTCTGTGAGGGCAGTGCCGGTGAGACCCGTAATTAGTGAGGTGTGCCGACCAGAGGGGGCAGACAGTATCAAGCTACCTTCCATGTCACTTAGCAGGCAATTCTAGGCCTTAACAACAGCCCGTATTACCTGCCTGGAAAATGTTCAAGCCATCGATTACCTTCCACACCTCCCCCCATTTCTTCCCCTTTAATATAGGCTGGGTGGTTCATAGTGTGTGGTTAGAGGTGATTGACCAGCATGGAAATGGTGGCAGGCAGCCTGTCATGTTAGAAATGGGACATTATTCAGGCTATGGCCATAATGAGGTAATCAGCACCATGGCGACCAATGACAGGCTGGGCTTGCGTCAATACAGAAGGGAAGAAAAACGTGGAACGGGTCCAATTTGCTGGATGCTGGATGTTAAATGGAAACCTTTATTGTGAGATCCACATCACACTGCTTTGTTTTTTCCTCTCTAAATAGACACATTTGTTTTGGGATTTTATGTGCTGCCCAGTCTGCCTGCTTTGAAAAGGTTTTACCTGTGAAAGTTCTGGATTAATGTGCCAGTTTGTGGGGGCAAATGGATGTGGATCTGGAAGCATACAGAAGATGAAGTAGATAGTTTAAGAGGTGCAGCTCTGACCCAGGGGAGGGATTCCTACCTGTGGCTGATTCCTCTTAAGACCTGGAAAGACAGCAGAATTTTACTCGCATTGGGTGAATTTAGCATCCGCGAGCTCTGTTGTGGTTTTGACATTTTCGATCAGCTCTCTGTAACATCTCTTCTTAACCTTAATGCTAATTACCGCTCATCTGAAGTCTGCAATATCAGAACTGCGTTACAGTGAAAGTAAAAGTTTACAGAGACTGTGTACTATGATGTGTGAGCAGCAGGGCAGACAGGATTTTCATACGTGCTAGATCTAGCATCAGTGTGTCTTGGTTCATGGAGTTCACTCCGTCAACTCACAGACACTGGCACAGCAGTAGTGCAAATTGGCCCTCGTCCGATTACCAGGTTATGAAAAGAGATTACCAGTCACACTTTGTTCATTTAAAACAGGGAAAATCACGAGCATGTGCTAAGGAACCTGGTGTCTGACCTGTGTTTCCTGTTGTTAACCCCTTCAGTACACAGGACTAATCATTGTGGACATGAGACTCAGGTGTTGAGTCAGGAACACACACACAACCTCCAGCGTCGCACCTGTGATCTTGGCTAATGGCTACCACAACGATAACTGAACGTGTGTTTACCCAGAGGCATGCTTTGTTTCCTAAGAGGAAGTGAATCCTGCTTTTCGTTGAGACTTTAATTGCTGGATAGTGAAGGTGGTGAAGTACTCTGTCCTTCTTTAATTGCCCTTCTGCTTTGTATCTGATGTGCATCGGGGATGGATAACACAGTCCTTACTCCAGTGCTTGGTTTCCACACATCAGTCAGCATGTCAGTGCATGCCGTTTTAAAGCCCCATAAATTACACACTTTGTCATTAGAGTCTAATGAATGGAGACTTGCCACTTAATACTGTTCAGTAATGGTCACCTGGCAACCATTTAGCCTCTGGGCATGCCCACTAACTTGCTATGGATAAAAGTACCATTTTATTGTAATGGCTGTAAGGAAATCCACACTCAAAGCATAGGGATTATCAGGACAGTCTTTGGAATGATCCTCAAGGTCAGGAGATATTTCTAATAGGTGGTCACCTGTTGAGTGTGATCTCTCCCAAAGCACCAGTAGTTTGTTGCATTAATTCTTATAAGAGTGTCACCAATATACACATCTGCAACCATTATGCTGTGACTATCAAAGCCTGCAGATATTAAGAAAAACCAATGTTTGTATAACATTTAAAATGATATACATGTAAAGAAAGTTATTTCAGTTGCTGAATTGCCTGGAGATTCATCAGTGTGAAAGCAGGCCAGTATAAAGCATGTGACTGAAGGACATCTGCTGTTACCTTAATGCTGCTGATTGATTTAGTCCGTGCCTTTTAATCTGAACCCTTTAGTCATTGTAATTTTGCAGGGGTTTTGTTAAATACATGGAATCTCTTTGGTTCTGTACTCATCCCAGAGTCATTCTGTGCACCTACAGGGAATGGGACTGGTGTGGGAGTTATGGAAGAATCAGGTATTTCAGTCATTTTAATGTCACTTGGAAAAGCATAGTTTTTAATGTTTTATCCAGTCCTGCCGATCATTTACCAGTGCATATTTGTGTTAATGTGGGTGACTTTTAACTGTTTCCTAACCCCAACGCCACCATATGGTGCAAACGGATAATAGGTTAAGTCAGAAATGTAAATGTGTTTTTTTTTTTCTGGGTTACCATCATCAGTTTCTCTGAGTCACAGACACGGACACTTCTGTTTCTCAAGCTGTCGTCAAGCTCAGAACCATATTTAGCTCAGCGAGGAATCAGATAATGTTATAACTAGTTTATAATTCAGTGAGAGAACCCATGGTACCATACAGCAATGATGCATTTCCCTAAAACTGTTTTCACAGTAGCAGCAGGGCTCTGTGGGACAATCTGCTGAACCAAGGGTGTGAGCAGATTTTCTTATGCACAGATTTTAAGGTTACTCGTTCTGTCATTGTTGGGTGAGTTTTCAACACTTCAGTCCTGATGTCCTTGTAATTGTAGCTCCCACAATGAAAGACCTTAAGTTTTTTTGTGCAAC